ATTCTTTGATGCACATTATAATTAATCATTTTGTAATATACAAATGTTTCTGATTTTCATGAAACTAAAGCTCTCTACCACAGAACAATTAAGTTAATTAGGAAAAATAAACAATACTATTTTGGCTCAGCACCTGTGGCTCAAGCGGCTAGGGCGCCAGCCACATACACCTAAGGTGGCAGGTTCGAATCCAGCCCGGGCCTGCCAAACAACAATGACGGCTGCAACCAAAAAATAGCCAGGCGCTGTGGCGGGCCCCTGTGGTCCAGTTACTTGGGAGGCTGAGGCAGGAGACTCGCTTGAGCCCAGGAGTTGGAGGTTGCTGTGAGCTGTGATGCCACGGCACTCTACCCAGGGGGATAGCTTGAGGCTCTGTCTCAAAAAAAAAAAATACTATTCTAAAAATTAAAGATGGAAGTCTTAGCCTTATCAGCTTAATAAAAATAATTAAATGTTTAAAATATTAGAAATTTAAAAATATATAGCAATGAGGAAAGTTTACTAATGAATTAATAAAGCAAGTAATCTCCACGATATTGTATTATCAGTAATAATTTATGCTAAAGAGGTATTGAACATGAGTAAAAGGAAAAGAAAATTTGGAAAAAATTTTCTAGAAATATTGCCTGACACGCTAACAGAAATCAGTTTATATTATCATTTATAATGTAGATTTAAAAAATCCTGATGGCCTACAAAATAGCAGGAGTACTAGAGTTAACCACAGTTTATTACAGGCAGTCCCAGGTTACAAACGAGACAGGTTCTATAGAATTGTTCTTAAGTTGACTTTGTATATAAGTTGAAACAGATACATTTACCTATTACCTGTAATAAACTCTGTTCATAAGTGCAGTCATATGTCAGTTGGATGTTTGTAACTTGGGGACTGCCTGTATATTTCAAAATAATTAGAAAAAGCGTTTTTGAATGTTCTCATCACAAAGAAATGGTAAGTGTTTAAGGTGATGGATGTGCTAATTATGCTGATTTGGTCATTACACAATGTATGCATATTTTGAAGCATAACATTGAACCCCACACATATGTACAATTATTAAGTGTCAGTCATTAATTTTAAAAGAGAAATAAAAAAGAATTGAACGTAAAAACAGATTTATAAGAGAGGGAACTGACAGGTCAAAAGAGGAATATGCTTAGAGAGAAGCTTAGTTCTCCATTCTAGACATTTAATAATTTAAACGAGAAGGGAACTGTCCAGCTCTTTGAACACAGGTGAGGGTAAAAACAAGTGTCTATCAAATAATATGGCTATATTTTTCAGAAAATGTATATGTCAATGATTAGAAACCATGAAGTCATAAATACATAACATATATGGCCAACAAAACTAGAGAAAATTAAAATAACAGAATAAAATGAAATCTGATAATAACATTTGATTGAATAAGTCTGAAATTAGCCAGCAAATGGGTAATAATTATTGTTTGCCCGTTACAAAGTAACATTAATTAGAACACTGATAAATTACTATTTTACCGAAATAAATAAGCAATTATTTAAATCAAGTCTTAAAACTGTTCATATGTTTTTGTCAATGTATCTAATTTCTGAACATGATTTTTTGAAAAGATGTTGCAGAAACGTGAAAAAATATACAAGAGTCATTAATTCACATTCTTCTGCAGGTGCCATCTCATAATTTCATTCAACAAACATGCTTCTCAAAATAATTTTCTATATGCAGTGTTTTTAATTCCTCTTTCTGTGTTTCCTCTTTAACCTATGCTCATCTGGTTTCTATCCCATTAATTCCCCCGTACTAACTTTGGCTAGTTTTGAGGCATTTGTTTTGGGGTCCACTAGGACATGTCAGTTTTCATCTTCCCTGAAAGCACTAATGTCTTTCCCTCACAAGTCTCTCCCTGACTTCTCTATTTGTCTTCTAACTGCACTCTGACTCTCAGCCTCACTGCCCTTTGCAGCCTCTCTGTTTGCCCTAAATTTAACTGTTGAGGGTCTGCAGGACAAGGTTTTGGCCTTAATTTCATTGTCCCATCTATTTATAAGTGACTATATTCATTCCCATGTTCTCATCACAGCCATGCAATAGAGAATCTTAAATTAGTACTTTTGCCTATGGCATTTGTTGTTCATTCTAGACCCATATTTCCAATTGCCAGTAATACTCTGCACTTTCACATCTCCCTTAGAAAGGGCATTTAATTTTATTTCTTTCCAAGAAGTTTCTTTTATACATTTCTGTAGTATTTCAAATAAGTGAAGGTGGTACTGCTTTTGTTTCTCTTCTTATAAAAGTGAAAGTTTCTACACAGAAGAAACTGTATTTGTTTTATTCATTTGTATTTCTTGACAGCAATTCCCAAATCTGCCACTTTGTACTCACTTTATACGTATGATACGAATCATGTGTTCTCTGAAATTCCTTTGCCTATGTTCCATCTCTCTTAACTACTGAATCGAGGTGAAAATGATGCAGATTCTTTTGTTATTCAAACTGAGAATGAGAATTTTTTCCTGATTATAAAGTCAAGGCACATAACCTGATAATAGACATCAATTTGTAAAACTCTTAAAAAAGAGTTAAAGCACCGTCAAACAAGAGCTTCCCCCTGATATCCCTTGCAGTTGCCGGCCCAGATTGATTTGACATGGACGGGACTGATGAGTCAGGAGGCTCTGGAAGGCTGAGCAGGCTAGGGGCAAGGGACGCTTTCTGACACTTGCCCCACATAGCTGCCCATTGTCCAAAGAGGAAATGGCCTGCCTGAATCTGGGAGTACTTTTCCTGTCTAAGACATAAAAGTTAAGGATATTGACTTATTCTAGTACTGTGCTCAATTCTTTCCAGGAAAAAGCCTCTGAAGGAAAGAAAATCTCCGGCCAAAGGGTGGACTTTTGCAGAAACAAAAGCTGACTCCCCACACACTCGGGATGCTGTCTTTGACCACTGTGGGCAGAAGGTGGCGCTCTTCCCAGGTAACTGTTTTCATAGTGCCAGATACATAAAACCACTCTTTTGTAGCCCATTCCCAGGATTGGATGTAAATTGGAATTGGTACATTTACCAACTACCCATAATAGTCTCCATTCGTAAGTACGAGTTATACGTCAGGGGGCTATTTAGAACTAGGGCATTGCCTAGATTTCCTTTTTGCCACAGCTACTATTATATCATTATTAACAGTAAAATTCTTTCACTACTGGAAATATTTATTATAAGAACAGTAAAAGGTCTTAATTTAAGAGTTTCTACAAAACTTAGAACTTTCATCCGACTTCTGCTTTTAACAGTGGCTTTATATACTGAAGAAAAAATTGATGAATAAATCCCTCCAGGGAACAGCAAATAGCTATACATTCGAGCAGTGCAGGTTAACAAGGAATCACGAGGAGGGTGCAGGAGGGATTTCTAAACGAGGAGGAAGGAAACAATTGTGATATGGAAGTGAAGAATGGGATTGAGAATAATGAGGAAAGGGATGATTGTGCCAGGTAAGCAAATGAATAATATACACAGATATGTTTGACTTCCATTTAGAAAACAAGTTATGATTAAAAATGGACAAATTGCGTAAACAATATTAGGACGGGTGCTTTCTGATTTCACCCTTGGAGCACAATGTGAAAGAGGACAAAATACTTCACAGACCAGAATATTCACTATGAATTAGGAGCTTTTCCTGGATAGTATTGAGTTTCACGCCCAAACTGGCAATTCTGCCTGTCCCCTGGAATCTTCAGTAGGGGAAGGGTGTGAAGCTTGAGTGGGGACCTGGTATACACAGCCTCCTGTAGGCAGTGACAACACGTCACTCTCTACCTAGATTCCAATCCCGAGGATGCCATGTCGTGCCCCAAGCCACACACTCATTCCCTTTGTCATAGTGGGGGGTAAGGAAACAGGCCGATCACATGTAGCATCTGTTCTTGCTGAGGTGTAGGCTTTTTGCAACAGGAAGAGAAACCCCCAGGAAGTGGTGAACCTTCTGCATAGATCTGAAACCAGCTTTCATGTCTGGTGTACTGCCCACCATGGTCACTCCTGGCCACCAGGGGGCGGTCTTGCCCTGGGAGGTCTACAAGAGCCCACACACAGGCTACTAGAGCCTGCTTTCTCTTTCCTTTTAGCTACAGCTCCCATGATGTCATAGGCAGCAGAAATCCTGGAACGCCTGGGTTGCAGATGTCACTGCAGAGCAAGGGTGTTCTCTGTAAGCTCTGCTTTCTACTTGTGCTATGCTGCTGTTTAGGGAAACCACGAAAGCCGAATGACAGCAGAACAGAAAGCAGCTCTGTACGCATAGTCAGGAAGAGGAAGGCAGTGATTGGCCAGGGTCTCATGGGGTTTCTGCCTGGAGAGGCAGGAAACCCCCATGATAGGGGAGTGTATTGTGGAATGCTGAGTGAGGAGGAGGGTGGGCATGTGCCAGGTTCTAGACTCAGTAAATAGATGTTGTATAGCTTCTGAATTTCCACCTAGATGGTAATTCCCCTCCTTCAGGCATGCATACAAACTATCAATTCCAGACAATTATTTGAAAAGGGGAGTGACGATTTGGAAGATTCTCTACCATTTTTTACAAAATACGTTCTTTGAGGATGCATCCTTGGAACGTAGTTACCCTAAATGGGAGGACACAGTGTCTATGAACTTTAGAGACTGAAAAGTAACATTACCATCTACAGGACTATGGAGAAAAATAAGGTACACCTGCTAGACCCTGTTATATACTCATTACTCAGAGGAGAATGCTGTGTTATGGGCCTCAAAATCCATGTTTTCATTGAAGATCGAGGAATATACAATAGAGTGAATACATTTATTTTTTATGAGAAAACCAATTCTCAGAGAGATAAAGAGGCTTTCTGAGCATCATCTGTTCATGCAAGCAGAATGGAATTGGAAGGTACAACTCGTTGTTGCTATTTGTAATCCATATGATGCTGTAAGTTTGATACTGTGAATTTCTGCAAGAACTGGTCGATCTCTCCCTCCCTCTCTCTCTTTATTTTTTTTGAATACGGAACGCTTCAAGAATTTGCGTGTCCTCCTTCTGCAGGTGCCATGCTAACCTTCTCTGTATTGCTCCAATTTTACTATATGTGCTGTCCAAGCGAGCATGTGCCGGATCTCTCTTTACTTCTCAATTTTAGACTATTCTTTCTTGCCCTGTCTGCATTTCCTTGGTTCAGGAGTAGTTTTAGGTGGTTTTACCCAAAGTTTTCCTTCATTACCTTACTAATGAGAAAGAGATCGTCTGATCCAGTTTCCCAATTTTATTTTATGAAGGAAGTTTGTCAGTTTCCCGGATGGTCAACATAGTGCAAAACTGATGAGCCAGTATGATTGGGAACAATTTATTATGTTATGATTGAAATAAATGAGATGTATTAAAAATATGGATACGGTTTGCCAATATATCAAAATCACACAATCTATCCAGAGATATATGTACCTTATAGAATGAAAAACTGTGCAGATACAAAATCGCCTTCATTCTTTCCCAAGTTCAACCCGATTTCTCCCATCCGTTTCAACAGCAATCCTCCCATAACTGTAACGTTTTCTGTAAACCTGGCACTGATTTCTCGTTTCTCAATTCACTTTTCCACCGACTCCGGTATGGTTTCCACTGATTACCTCCCCCAAGACACCTCTCACTGTCCTGTTTTGCTGATAGATGGGCAGCTTCAATCCCACATTTCCATAAGTCCACTGATTCTTCTCCTTAGCACATATACTTCCTTAAAGACCTTGTTATGGCCATTCTCCCTGTCCTTCTAATGTAAAGTATTCCACCTCTGTTTCCATAGCAGCTCCTCTCCTGTGCCTCTAAGACTGGAAGGTCTTCAGAATCAAGCTTGAGTCTGTTGCACTCTCTACTATCTCTCCCCACATGACCACCTTCATATTTGTCCTTTCAGCTGCCAGTTATGAAGTTCCAGGCATCGAGTTCCTTGGAAATGGCAAACTCATGCATCCCCAAGTGATAAGAGCCATTTTCACTTAGGTATTAAACTGTCAGTTTTAGAAAGAATATCACTGCTTTTCTTTTTTATTTCTTGACATACCTCAGTCTACCTTCTTCTGAGGGGATTACACCGGTATGTCATTCTTCTCATTATAACATTGAACTGAACTGACATGAACGGGCCATGGTTATTGCTTTTAGGTTTCTTTCCCTACAAGAATCAAAGGTTCAATAGAGCAGCAACTGTATTTGTTATGTTCACCTCTGTATCCTGAATGAATCAGACAGCAGTAGCTGACATTCAACTAACTTTTCCTTGTATCCTGAACATAACAATGATAGGTAAAACAAACTGTACAGTGTATTCCTTAATCATGTTTCGCGATCAAGCTTGGAGTTCCATTCTAGAAGAATAAAGCAACACAAGAAGTTTTCCTTCGTAAATATTTAATGAACAAAGCAAATTAATGAATTGGCTAAATATAGAGAACATATTTTATCATATTAACATCCTGAAGTTGCACATTATTTTTTGAACAAAAATAACTTAAATCTTATAAATAGGTGAATACATAGGTATTTAAATGAATAATAAATAGATCCATCATCAAGGTCACGTGTACGTGGCTAGTACCTGTAAAGCTAAAGACCATGCCAGGAAATACTTGAGACGTTTGATTCGATAACGATCAGTTGTAACCCAATTGAGAGTGTTGAAATGGCAGAACTCATGAACGTGTGAGATAGTGACGGTGTCAAGGGAATGGTTGCCATGTTGGACCAGTCTCATTCCTCTCTCCTTCATCTTTCTTACAAGCTTGTTGTTGAAGAAAAGGTTCTCAGGATTTCTGCTCTGACCACCTCCCAGGCACAAGGGCTGTATTTCTTCTCTTTCAGGTAGAGAGTGATTCTCTGGAAGTAGCTCCTCAGGGCCAGCACGGGGTCCTCGCCCATGGGGGCGGTGTCTTCCACTCCCTCCTCTGGCATCAGACAGGCTTCCAGCTCATTCAGCTGCTGATAGAGGCCAGTGCGGAACTGGTCCAGGAGGGTCTTATTCCAAGCCTCAGATGAGTCGTTTGTGCTGAAGAGGTTGAAGGTCTGCTGGGTCATCTCATGAAGGGCAGAGATGGCTTGAGCCTTCTGGAGCTGCTTGCCACGCAACTCCTCCCGGGGGAATCTGAAGTCACTCCTGTCCTTGAGGCAGGAGAAAGGAGAGATTCTCCTCATATGAACCAGGGGAATCAAGGCCCTCCTGTTGCCCAAGCTGTGGGACTGAGGCAG